TCACACGTATGAAACCAATTGTTCCGGGGTGTTGGAGCCCGACATGAGGGAATATGATGTGCTACGGCACCGGTGTGTGGTGTTTGATGAAGCTAGTGTCCATCTTGTCTTGAAGCACAAAAAATTGTTTCAGGCGCCGCCTGCCGAAATTTCACTTGGGCACTCGGCGACAGGCATGTATGTTTATCGCATCTGGGTTTGGAATGTCGCTCTCATTGTCACATCCAATGTCTGGACCACCGAACTGGAGCAGCTCGCTGCAGAAGATCGGGAATGGCTAGAAGGGAATGCGATTCTCATTCAGTGTAGCCAGCCCTTATACAGACAAGACTGAGGCCACGGCCGGTTCCAAAAAAAGGGGTCGCCAGACGGTTGCAAACTAGCTGTCGTCAGTGAGGGCCCTTGTTGTGACATGCCGGCTGCTGTCAACGCAGCGCACTTGCAGACTTGGATTCCTTGGGTGTCACTTTGCAGCATGGCCACGTCGCTTGCTGCTACTTGCAGAGCTGGGACGGGCTCAGTTTGACTTCTGCGTCAGCATGGGTGACCGGCATGTTTCCATGTTTCCGTCAACACTGTTGCTCATTCTCTGAAGCATGAACTTTCAACAGTGTTTCCTTGTCATACAGCTTCTTTGGGCAAAACACATGGCCCGTAGGCAGGAGTCTCCATATTGTCTGCCTGTGTGACACACGGCTTGCCGGCGTCCCTGTGCATGCCATGATGCCAGATGCAGCTGCAGCTGAAGTAGTCCGATTACAGCAAGCTTTAGTGGCTAACCGGAACGAGTTGAAAGGCGCTTACCAGCAGGCCAGACGGCAGCAAAAGAGAGTGCAATGTTGTGGCCTGGGGCCTGCAGCTCGCCGAACGACCCTAGCTGTGTATGTGCTGTCCAACTACAACATAGCTCTCGCTGTCCGCGTGGCTTGCAGGTTATCCACGCACAAGCGCCCTGAGGATGCTGGGTTCCCAACAGCTGCAGCCCTAGAAGAGCTTTTTTTGGAATCCCCGCCAACAGACTGGCTGGAATTCGGCGAGCTAGCAGCGCAGAGGGCACACGCCTTTTTGGCAGAGGCCGCAACTTCGGATTGGGTGCGTGATTGCAATGTCTTGCATGGTGTGGCCCCTTCCTCGATGGACGTCTTCTTGCACTGGGAGCATGCCTTTATCGGCCATCAGCTCGACGTGGGTGTCCCTCCGCGACGCTACGTGAACAAGTGGGCGCAGAAGTGGCGTGCGCGCTGGGGTGTCCGCCGCAAAGTGTTGAAACAGGTGGTGCACAAGGACCCGGCAGTTTTAAAAGCGAAAGTCCCTTGGACGGGAGGAAACTGCTGCAGTATTTTGGCCCCCTTTTTGGGTCCAGATTCCGGACCCAAAAAAGGGTCCGAGTACGTTGCCGTATATTGTTTGCATGCACAGGATTAGCCTTAAGGGCCCCATTTCTGGTCCCAGTTTTCGGGTTTGTTTTGTCGCCCCCTATTGCTGCACCCTTTTGGATGCGTCGGTGTTGTTTCCACACCGCATGCTTTGTCCTGCAAGGTCAATGCTTTTTGGCGGCATCTGCGCTATCTATACCAGAAGTTTGCCGACCGAGACATTCTCATCTTGAATGTTGATGAGACGAGCGTAGGGTATACCATGAAGCCGCGGCTTGGCAATGTGGTGGCTCCTGCGGTCGCGAAAGTGTCGAAGCAGGATCGGAGAGGAGCTTGGACATACCTCAGCCTCATTTGCAATTCTACAGATGTCCAAGGGAAGTTACCACATCACCTGATAGGTTCCAAGACGAGGCTGACGCGCAAGTTGCTGCGGGCACAGAAAGCCTTGCCACCAACCCGATTGAAGATCATTGCGCAAAAGTCTGCATGGACTTCTGCTGCGAACATGGTGCAACTCTTGCGAGACATTGGTGAGGTGCTGAAGCTGTATCCAGGCAAACAAGGTATCTTGTTGCTGGACTGTGCGCCTAGCCACTTGCCAAAGGAGGTCATGCAAGCGGCAAAGAGGCAGAAGGTGCAGCTGGTTTACATACCGGCGCAATGCACTGATGTGCTGCAGCCGTTGGACATTTGTGCATTTGCTGGCTTCAAAGCCTTTTTGCGGGCAAGGCACGAAGGTCTGAAAGCAACTTCCCAGCATGGTTTGGTGAATCCCCTGGCATGGATTTGGGAGCTGATGCAATGCCCGCGTGAATTTTTCGCGCAGAAGGCATGGCGCAGTAGCTTCGCAGCGGTCGGATGCACCAATCCGCCTGATCCGCAAGTACTCCATCGGGAGCTGCGGGAGTTAATGGATTTTCCGGTGAGTTTCCCCGAAGGGGTCAAACCAACCCGAGAGGAAGTGCAATGTTTGTGGCCAGAGCGACGCCGTATGGTGTATGCTTACAAAGCCTTGTTTTGACTTGCCTGCGTACAAGTGAAAATGTTGTGAGACTATTAGGGTCCAGCTTGTGGAAGCCGAGTTCTATGCATAATCCCAGCCCCCATTTTTGGGTTCCCCGTGTAGGCTAGTGTTAGTGTCTGCTTGCAAGCATGTGCTTGCAGCGTGCAACCCTGAAGCAACTGTCAGAAGACTCTGCAAGCTTTTGGCCAGAAGGAACTTGCCCTGGGTGACCCTCACCTTGACGCACTTGCTGCGAAGCCATGTCGTCAGAAGCAGCACCTGCTGATGTTGCGGCCGTTGCGCCGCCGGCAGACCGTTTGGCAGATTTGAAAGCAGCGCGACAGGCACTGAAGCGGCAGTTGGCGCAAGCAACCCGAGAGGTGAAGAGCCAGGACATAGACTGGTGGCCATCAGACATGGTATAATGTCCTGTCTTGATCAATGCTAGCTTGTTTGCAGCAAATTGTCTGTGCCGGGCGCAGGAGAAAAAACGCCGTCGCATCATGCAGCAAGCTGGGAAACTGAGCACGGCAGATTTGTCGTGGCTGTTGGCGGTCAAGGTTGCCAATGGTCGTCCCTGATGTTTGCAGTTTGTCTGCATGGGCATGTCTCTGACAAGTGCAGAGCTATGCAGGAGACTCTGTGTTGGTATTTGCCCGTGAAGGGCGCCAATGTCGTCCTGCATGTGTTACAATGGCACGCACACGCGTGAGGAAGTTGCAAGTTTGCACACGAAGTGTGCACCTATGTGTGATTAACAACCTGACGCCAAAGGTGTCTGAAAACAATCGCAGCTGGCCACTCATGTTGCATGTTGGCTGTGGGAAGTGAGAGCGATTCAGTCAGTGGAGTCAGACGATTGCTTTGCATAGTGGCTGTAGGAGTGATTATTCAGATTCATTCATTGGATTCAGAGGCCTGCTTGATTGACGCCCCACTGTGTGACACATAGCACACGCCGTATCCTGTCAGTGATTTAACATTCTCTTGCTGCGGCGGCAGCGATGGATGCTGGTGCGCTGCGGCCGTTGCGCCTGGTGCGTGCACGACCTGGCGATGCTGCTGCCGTTCTGGGGCCTTTGCGCCTGGTGCTGGCGGCTGGTGCTGTGCCACATTGCATCTGGGCACATGGTGCAGCTGCCTGTCCAGGGGGGAAGTGACTCTACATCTAGCAATTGTACCCTTGGTTTCTTGGTTCATGTTAAATTCCCATGTTTGATGGTGATTTCTCGCCAGTTACCCATAAGGCTCAATCAATGATATAAGCCCATCGTTTGATAAATCCCCAATGGTCAACCGCGGTGCACCACCATAAAAAATGACTGGCGAATCCCTATATGGTTAAAGTGATTTACCCACTGGTAAATTAACATAGACCCTTAAAATCACCAAGGTTTAATGGCAACTAGTCTTCCATCCCTATCTCCCACGGTCTATGTTAATTTACCAGACGGTAAAACGCTGTTGAGGTCTATCAATCTTCCCCGGTTCGACCACCACTTTTGATGGGTAACCAACCAGCATGACACCCAGTTCCCAGGCCTAGCATCCGCAAAATGAGGGTGCTTGCATGAATTAGTAGATTGTCGGAAAAGGGTAAATGATAACGACCTCAATCATCCCCAAATGGCCAAACCATGCAGGTGAGTGAACTATTGGGATTGCAATGTTTCATGACAGCAAATGTCAAAGATGATATGGGATGATAGATACGTACGTACATATATTTGTATATACATATATTAATATAAGAGAATACTATATAATTAGGAACTGATTTGGTCAATTGGGGGGAGCGAACCGCTCCGTGCGTAGCAACTTCGAAGCACACCCCCATTTGATTAAATCGGTGTAGGAACCCCCCCAGCGGATTAGATAGCTTGGTTGCTGGATATTATATAAGGGTTGGTTGAACCGGGAACCTCCCTATCTCATCCGTGACACTATTTTTGGGGTTATGCTAATTTTTGGGAGTGTAATGACCCCCTAAAGGATGGATTGCCCAATTCAAGGAATGTTGATGCCTGAATTGCCCTATCCATCCAAAACCACCAATGGGGATAATGACTGGAATAAAATCTAGGAGACGCGGACAGAAAATCTATGAGACACAGCTGAGCTTTGCCAAACGCAAAACTTTAGGTTTGAAGAACCTTGAAACGACTTCAAGGTGGATTCTTTACAAAAGACAAGTCGGAACATACCCCAGAAAGCCTTATATCGATCTAGATAGACATGTGCTTTGGAGAATAGAGACCTCGAAATAAAATGCGTACAAGACTAGTTTTTTAGGAGGTGGCTGATATGAAACTGGTCGCTTCCTCATCCCAATGCGTTCGTTTCACTTTTCAATACAATGGTCGAGATGAAAGTCGGTGATCGGGAATGTTCGTGATCCGGGTCGAAAGGAAAAGAATGTTCGAGATGCAAGTCGGTGATCGGGACTGTTCGTGATCCGGTTCGAAAGGAAAAGAATGTTCGAGATGCAAGTCGGTGATCGGGACTGTTCGTGATCCGGTTCGAAAAGCCAATGCTTCGCGTTGGGACTTTCAAGCATTCAATGCCATGCTGCATTTTGAAAAAAAACAGGAGATGTGCACATAAAGATCAGTCTTTTGGTTTTACCTGGTTCAAAGCTGTCAGCATGAAAGTGCTCAAGATCCCGCTTTCCAGTCGTTAGAGTATTTCATTCTAGTACCGATTCTAGATAGCGATAGACATGTATATGGAGATATATATAGATCGAGAATAAAAGAGCGATAGAGAGATAGAGAAAGACATGGAGAGAAAGGTATGTATGTATATATATATATGTCGATGAAGAGATATATCTACGTAGATATAGATATGTATGTATAGGTCTGTAGACCCAGAGGAGGAAGAAAAGCACCATGCCTGTGGGAAGGGACACCTTTAGAATGGTGGCGACACAGAACAACATGCTTCAACATGGTCCTCCAACCTCGCTTGTAGCTACAAATAATTCTATTCTCCCAGAGGCGGATTTGGAGGACCGCCATTTTTGCCCCCGTTTTTCCATAGTTTTTCCCGTTGCTTGGTCCTCCGCGGTCCTCCGACCGATCCTGTCCGTGCTGTCGTCTGGGTTTTGTCGCAGTCCATACCCGTCGCTTGGTCCTCTCCATGCTCCTGCCAAGGTTTTTCAGCCATGCAAGCGCTGGGACAACAGTCTCGAGTGGCGCGGAAAGTCCGTGCGTACTTGACGAAAACAAAGCTGCTGAGCCGCTGCCCACACTTGTTTGCCTTGTAGTCTTTTCTTTGGCCCGCTCTGCTATTAGACCAGTTATGGCCATTGACCAGTTATAAGTAGTCATAACCCCATTTCGACCTTATAGACTCCCATTTATAACCAATTTGAACTCATCAATGTCCAGAACTGACGCGTCTATCTCCTGCTCCTCTATGTGAAGCTTGCTTGTCCTCATGCCTGCGAGCAGGCTTGGTCTGCTGTTTGGGTGCCGCCGCCGTGCCCACATCCAGACAGAGCATGGTGAGGCATTGCATGCTGTTCATTGTACGGTCGCTTTGTCATCGACTGCTTAGCTGCCAGGGTATTAACTTCCCATGAGGGCCCCTTCATGTCACGCAGCAAAACAAGAACATGATCATTGAGCCACAGTGCCGCCATGCCTGTCCGACGGCGACTCTGTGGTAAGCAGCCGCCGCCAGACGGCCCCCCTGACCGGGAGGCACGCAAGCAGCTGCTGATATGGCTGCGCGACAAATGGGCTGCGCAGCGAATGGCCGCTCGGAATGAGCACGGACACGCCAAGCGGCAGCGGTGGAGAGCTTCATTTGCACAAGCCGACAGGCCGCAGATTTTGCGCGACATGTTGCCGCAAATTCCTGTGAAGTTTGCACGTGCTGCACGTGACCTACTGGCAGGGTGGCATGTCGAAGAGCCGATTGTCAACGAGCCATCGCCGCAAGCATACAAGGGCACTGGTACTATGTTCCGATACAGTGGCTCCTTTAGCATGATTGAGCATCAACCTTCCTTGGACCTGCTTGCGGCAGGACCATCTGTCGACATTGATCTGCTCAGTGCCGGCCTACGAAACGCACCGCAGGTGCTTGCCATTTGGGATGACTTTCAAAGTTGGATGACCGAGCTCGGCAACAAGTACCGCTTTGAACGGGTCAGCACCGCCCTGGAGCTCCACACAGAGGTGACGCTGCAACGCAGAGTGCCTTCCATTCACTTGCACATGATGTTTGACACCCGCGACTCGGCAGCAATGCGGGCACCTCTCTCGCAAGCCTGAATCATGTCATTTTATCTTTAATTCCCAGTGCCAGTCATTCTTTTTCGCAGCCCAATGTGAGGACGCACCTTCCCCATACTTTTCGGTCCTGTTTCATGTTTAGTTCTGATGGCTAACAGAACCAGATAGGCTCTAGCACCGTACCTTCCTGGCCCATGCACCCGCATGCTGCGGCCAGGGCGACAAGTGCATCTGTCTGGACAAAGTTTGGCATTTCGTGGGTGCAAGCCGCACATCTCCTTGGATTCCTCGCAGGCTCGTGGGCGGTCAGTCCGTCGTGCACTGGATCAAGGGCACTTTTATCTCCAAGTGGAGAAGAAAGGGTCCATTTTTCGCCAGACCACTTGCCAGACTTTCACAGTGAGCCCCGACTGGGTGACTGGACTTTGGCAGGGGGATAAGATTAACAAGGAGTGTGCCGAGCAGCACTACGTCCAATGCAAGCGCAACATTCGTGCTTACTGTGAGAACCTGAAGTACCATGGCCAGAAACAACGGGAGCTGTACATTCAGCAGCAGCAGGCTGCTGCAGCAGAGCTCTTGCGCCCACTGCAGAAAGAGCCAGTGGAACTACCAGAAGTGACGCAGCTGTTCTTGCCACAGTTCACGCGGCCTATGCATCGCCGAAAATTCTTGGTGCTGAATGGCCCAACGCGCCTGGGGAAGACTGTCTATGCACGGTCTCTCTTTGGCGCAGATCACACGTATGAAACCAATTGTTCCGGGGTGTTGGAGCCCGACATGAGGGAATATGATGTGCTACGGCACCGGTGTGTGGTGTTTGATGAAGCTAGTGTCCATCTTGTCTTGAAGCACAAAAAATTGTTTCAGGCGCCGCCTGCCGAAATTTCACTTGGGCACTCGGCGACAGGCATGTATGTTTATCGCATCTGGGTTTGGAATGTCGCTCTCATTGTCACATCCAATGTCTGGACCACCGAACTGGAGCAGCTCGCTGCAGAAGATCGGGAATGGCTAGAAGGGAATGCGATTCTCATTCAGTGTAGCCAGCCCTTATACAGACAAGACTGAGGCCACGGCCGGTTCCAAAAAAAGGGGTCGCCAGACGGTTGCAAACTAGCTGTCGTCAGTGAGGGCCCTTGTTGTACATGGGACATTTGGCATCAACATCACAACAGCAAGAGAAAGATTCTCATGATCAAGACAAGTGGATATCAGGGGCTTGTTTTCGGTTCGTTTTTGGCATCTGAAATGGGTATCATTTTTGGCCACGGGTGTGGGGCCTCCCTTGTATGGGCTTTGTATGGAGAAGAAAGACTCTTGATCCTGGCTTAGGATCATATGCAGCCCGCAGGTGTTTGATAAAGCGGCAATTTCACATTTTGCATCTTCCAATAAGATGACGCTGGCAGCGAACTCTGCCAACCGAGGAGACAATAGAGTAGCAAGAAGCAGGCGCAATATTTGATCAAAATGAGGTTTCAAAACTAACCAGGGCCTCGAAACAGGCAGTTTTGCAGTGACCCAAGGGCGTACCCTCGCAGTAGGGAGCATGCTGTTGATTTTCTCATACATGAAGTTTTATTTCAATGTTTTCTGCATGGAAAACATGTCTTGACCATGTTTGACTTGTAAATGTAAAAAACATGCTCTTTGTTTAAGCACTTTCGCCGCCCTAAGTTTCTCTTCCTTCTTTGATTGAAGTTGTTGGTTTGTTGCGCACAGTTGAATAAGATCGCTAAGTAGAAGACCATTGAATGAAGATCATGTCAACACCTTGTTGGCGTCTTCGTACAAGTTTGGCGCCCCGGATTATATTTTGGGGTCCTGCTTTGGGTCCAATTTTGGACCCAAATCAAGACCCCAAAATACAAATTTGTACGAAGACGCAAACAAGGACGTGTAGACATGATCTTCATTCAATGGTCTGCTACTTATTCAAATGTGCGCAACAAACCAACAACTTCAGTCAAAGAAGGAGGGGAAACTTAGGCCGGCGAAAGTACGTAAACAAAGAACATTTTCACATCTTTACATTTACAGACCAGACATCATCAAGACATATTGTCCTTCCAGAAGATATTTAAGTAACGTTTCATGTATGAGAAAATCATGGCATGTTCGCTACAGTAGTGTAATGTAGCTGTAGTTGTAAACGTAGTGTAAAAAATTAGTGTGAACTAGTGTTGTGTAATGTAGTGTAGTTGTAGTTGCAGTTCTAGTTGTAGTGTGGTGTAGCGTAGTCGAATTAGTGTAGTGTCGTGTAAAGTAGTGTAGTTGTAGTTGTAGCTGAAGTAGTAGTAGTAGTAGTAGTAAGTAGTAGTAGTAAGTAGTAGTAAGTAGTAGTAGTAAGTAGTAGTAGTAAGTAGTAGTAAGTAGAAGTAGTAGTAGTAGTAGTAGTAGTAGTGGTAGTGGTAGTAGTAGTAGTAGCAGTAGCAGTAGCAGTAGCAGTAGTGGTAGTGGTGTTGTGGTGTTGTGGTGTTGTAGTGTTGTAGTGTTGTAGTGTAGCAGTAGATGTAGTTGTAGTTGTAGTTGTAGTTGTAGTTGTCTATCTATCTATCTATCTATCGATCGATCGATCGATCGATCTATCGACCTATATCTATCGATCTATCGGTCTATCTATCTACTATCTATCCATCTATCCATCCATCTATCTATCTATCCATCCATCCATCTATCTGTCTGTCTGTGTACCTGCACGCTTGAAAACGAAGCTATTTTGCAAGGGTTCCTCCATTTTCGAAGGTGACAACACGAAAAACGAAACAAGTCTGCGAGACTTCCTCAATTGTTGAACTTGACAACGTCAAAAACGAAACAATTCTGCGAGACTTCCTCTTTATCCCGAGAGCGTCTGAGCGAAGGGTTCTTCTAATAGTGGAGGTCTGTCAAACATTGTCACATCTTCACATCTTCACATCACACCTTCAATTCTCACATCTTCCCATCCTCGCATCCTCACATCTTCACATCTTCTCATCTTCACATCTTCTCATCTTCACATCTTCTCATCTCCACATCTTCACATCCTCACATCCTCACATCTTCACATCCTCACATCTTCACATCTTCTCATCTTCACATCACATCTTCTCATCTTCGCATCTTCTCATCTCATCTTCTCATCTTCACATCTTCACATCCTCACATCCTCACATCTTCACATCCTCACATCTTCACATCTTCACATCTTCACATTCTCTCTTGCCCTCTTGCTCTCTTGCCCTCTTGCTCTCTTGCCCTCTTGCTTTCTCCTTCTTTTCTATTTCTATCTTAAGGCGCCGGGCAGTGCCAACGAGACGGCACGAAACACAACCCTTTCGCGATCGAACCTCATTTCGTGTGAAAGGGTTGCGCCGGACACGTGAAAATCGCAAATTTACTGCAGTTTTTGGCGATCGAACCTCATTTCGTGCGAAAAGGTTGCGCCGGACCCGTGCAAATCGCAAATTTACTGCAGTTTTTGGCGATCGAATGAAGTAAATTTGCGCTTTTCACGGGTCCTGCGAAACGCTTTCGCACGAAATGAGGTTCGATCGCCAAAAACTGAGGTAAAATTGCGATTTGCAAAAGGTCCAGTGAACCTTTTCGCACGAAATGAGGTTCGATCACCAAAAACTGAAGTAAAATTGCGATTTCACGGATCCGGTCGCAACCTTTTCGCACGAAATGAGGTTCGATCCGCCGAAAACTGAAGTAAAATTGCGATTTTGAAGTGTCCGCGACAACCTTTTCGCACGAAATTAGGTTCGATCGCCAAAAACTAAGGTAAAATGGTACTTCTGTGAATAAAAAGTGTCTGTGTGTAAAAGCGTTTGTGTGTAAAAGTGTCTGTGTGTAAAAGCGTCTGTGGGTAAAAGCTCCTGTGTGCGAAAGCGTCTGCGTGTAAAAGCTTCGGTGTGCAAAAAGCTTCTGTGTGTAAAAGGTTCTTTGTGTAATAGCTTGTGTGTGTAGAAGTGGCTATGTGTAAAAGTGTCTGTGTGTAAAAGCGTCTCCGTCTGAGTGTAAAAGCTTCTGTGGGTAAAAGCGTCTGTGTGTAAAAGCGTCTGCGTGTAAAAGTGTCAGTGTGTAACAGCTTCTGTGTGTAAAAGCTTCTGTGTGTAATGAATTGTGTGTGTGTAAAAGTGTCTGTGTGTAAAAGTGCCTGTGTGTAAAAAGGTTCTGTGTGTAAAAGTGTCTGTGCGTAAAGAGCTTCTGCGTGCAAAAGCATCTGTGTGTAAAAGCGTCTGTGTGTGATAGCGTCTGTGTGTAAAAAGCTTCTGTGTGTAAAAGCTTGCTGTGTGTCAAAGCTTCTGTGTGTAAAAGCGTCTGTGTGTAAAAGCTTCTGTGTGTCAAAGTGTCTGAGTGTATGGGAAAAATCTTCTGTGCGTAAAAGCTTTTGTGTGTAAAAGCTTCTATATGTAAAAGCTTCTGTGTGTAAAAGCTTCTGTGTGTAAAAGCTTCTGTGTGTAAAAGCTTCTGTGTATAAAAGCTTCTGTGTGTAAAAGCTTCTGTGTGTAAAGGCTGCTGTGTGTTTGGGGGTTTGTGTGTGTGTGTATGTGTAAACATGTTTCTCTGCGTGTGTCTGTGTTTGAGAGCCTATCAGCATATCTGTATGTTTGTATTTTTCACATCTTCAATAACCTTCTATACAGCATACCTTGTCTGTCTCTTGCAACTGAAACCCTGACATCTTCACATCTTCTTCTCTTGGCATCTACACATAATGAACCATCACATGATCTCAAGTAACATTCTCATGAACATATTCATGCAAGTCTTTGGCGTCTGCAAATCATACAGCTACATAACACATCTGAGTACCTATACACCTACTCGCTCTCGGGCCAACCATCGTCTAGTTGAACTTGACAACATCAAAAGCGAGACAATTCTGCGAGACTTCCTTCAAAAAAGTGCAGAGCTGACGGCCTCGTACCAATGCTTTTTGTGATTTGTCCATTCCATCTGTCTAAAGTATTGCGCCTGCCACGAAAAAGTGAGGCCAGGTCATACGAAGTGCTGCACCAGTCACGCAAAATCATCTTGGCAAACCCAATGATCTGATGCACCAAAATGCAACCCCTCTCAGGAAATCAGCGCCCGGATTTCCTAACATTTCTGAATCATGTGTCTCTTGCATTGCACCTGCCACGCGACATGCATCTTTGCAGATTCTCTTCAAGCGCCCCACGCCTGCCAATGTTTTGAAACTGCTACAAAACCTTCACGTTTTGCTCACTTTGCCAAATATGGTCCCAGCATGTGGTGTTTTCAACATTTTGACTGCGAAATGTGCTTCGCGCCACGACGGTGTGCGCTTTTTGAGCATCTCAACTTCCAAAAGTGTTCCGACGTTGGTGTGTTTTGTACATTTTGACTTGGAAACACGCGTCGCGCCACAGCGGCGTGCACTTTTTGAGTATCTCAACTTCCAAAAGCGCTCCATTTGTTTTTGGGGGCGTAGCTGATTCGAATGCAGCTAAAATGCCTAGGGCCTAGAACACGGAAGAAACACGGATGTGTTTTCAATTGTTTTCAAAGGCGCGCATGATGGGTGACCTCCCCTGTGGATGGGTGTGTTGGTTTAGATCGGTATTGATCCCTGTATGGAGGTATTGTGTCGGTGGTGTATAGGTGGCACGAGGCCAGCATGCAAGTATGCCAGCGGGTCGTATAGGCAACCCTCTGTGATGGGGTTGGTGGGGGGGTTTTCCGCCGATACCATTAAGATGCTGCGCGCTCACAACAGTGCCTTGAAATGCCAAGGCCGCTTCTTGTGCTTGAAAGCACTTTCGGAACAAGTTAGTGCAGCATTCCGAGCTATCAACGAATGGCTGATCATGGCCCAAAGCCCTGGCCCCTGGCCGCTGCTAGCTTTCGCTGCTGGGAAAATGTTTTCTGTTAGTGCTGGGGGGAAGCAAGTTTAATTTGTTCTCTTTCATTCGAGCAGTGAAATTGTCTCCTTATGGACCGGCGCGTAGCTTGCAATGCGGCCTCTTGTGTGAACTGTCAGACATTGAGGCGTAAATTTGATGTTCCAGCCTTCGTTGCGCAGGGCCTCAGCACACTTGCCAAGGCTGCGGCTGTCGCTGGTTGTGATTGATCATGAGGCTAAGTATGGTGGAGGCGCGGCAACCGTCCGAAACCCAGCTTCCACCATTGAGAATGTCGCAGATTTTCCGTAATGGCCGCATTTCCCAGTTTCAAGGCTGCAAGTGAGCCATCCAGCAAGAGGCGGAAGACACGATGACCAACGCAGCTCCGCAAAGGGAACAGATGAAGCGCCATAGAGCTGAGCGATATTGCCAAAGATGCGACTGTGCTCGCTTCAAACGCAGGGCATGCCAGCAAAGCCTCCCTGCAAAAAGATGGCCGAAGCATGCGTGAGTTGCCATTTTGCACCCTTGCAGACGTTGCACGCAACTTGGCGCAGTCTGAGGTAAGAGACGGCATACTTGCGTAGATTTTTCAGCCTGGCTCAAAGGCAGGCGTTGCACTGTACCTTATTCCATCTTACTCCGATCCTTTGCATGATTGCCGTTGCAGCATGTTGCGCCGTGGCCTTTGGTTGGCCTCCTTGGGCTGTTGCTCAAGCACGGTAAGCCCTGGGTATGAGGCACGGTTTGCAAACTAAAACGAACCATTGTTGGTGCAGCGATCCATAAGTGTTTCGCGCATTTGGCCTTGAGCCAAGTCCTGGCGCCAGGTGGAATGCAAGCAGGCAGTAAAGTCAAGCCAGCTGCTGCAGATCTCTCGGGGGCCCTGCAATCTGTCGCAGTATTTCGACTCGCGAGATGAGGGGTATTGACACGATCATTTAGTGACCGCGCATCCCGCACTATTCTATCTATTGTGTACACGCATTGCCTTCCTTGTTTGTTGCAGGGTAGCATCAGCCCAGTTTCTTTGCTTGTGGAACCATTTGCAGATTGCTAGCAAACAAGACAGCGCCCAGGTTTCCAGAGAGATCTCCTGAGTTCTACCTCGAGCCAGACAAGATGTGGGGGCTGGACAATGCGAGCTCCTCCTGGAAGCTGGTCAAAAGCAGTAACAGATCAGGATGTATTTTACGCAACTTGGCCTTACTGAGTGGTCCGAGCACAATGGCCCTGAAGGCGCTGACATGTGTATTTGCGAGCCATCCGAAGTGCACCAATGTTTGTGTCTTGTGATCCGGAGATCCTGGACCCTTCGGCGGCCTTGTGTTTTGAGGATTTCCATCGTCATCCAAAGCACGCAGCCCCACCAAGGCCTGTCATTTCAAGCACATTCGTATTACTGTTGCTATTGCGCCAAATCTAGATGTCACCCAAGAGATTCTTCCTCTCCCTCTCCCTCTCCTTCTCCCTTTCCCTCTCCCCTCCCCCTCCCCGTCCCCCCCCTCCCTCACTCACTCACTCACTCTCTCTCTCTCTGTGTCTCTCTTGTCTCTCTCCCTCTCCCTCTCCCCCACAGTCTCCCTCTCTCTCACTCTCTGTTTTTTCTCCCCCTTTCTCTCTCCCTCCCTATCTCGCTCCTTCGATCTACACACAGATGTGTGCATGTGTGAGTGTGTTGGTTGTTGTGTGTATTATACACACACACATATATATATAATTATATCTATATAATTATATATATACATGTATATACATATATATGAATATATACATATATACTATGTGTATATATATATAAATATAATTCTATGTATGTATATATATATATGTGTGTGTGTTTATATACGTAAATCGATTTATAATATATACATACATGTATCTGTTTTTACTTTTTTAAGTATATGCATTTATATATCTTTATATGTATGTAAGGTAGCTATGTTTATAAGAATCTTAGTCAGCCAGGGAATGGAAAATCCAAAAAAGATATTTTGTCGTTGGAACCTTCCTAAATTCATCGTTTGATTTATCCTGGGATTTATCCTCTGTTTTTTGCCTTCCTAAATTCATCATTGGATTTATCCTGGGATTTATCACCTGCGTTTTGGATTCCTAACTTCATCTTTGGATTTATCCTGGGATTTATCCTCTACTGTTTGCCATCCTAAATTCATCCTAGAATCCGTCCTAGGATTTCTTCCAGGGCTGCTGCCCCTGCCGCCGACCCCAGGAAACCAGGGATACGTAAAGGCACGGCATAGATAGACAGTCCATCAAAACATCTACAGCGAGGTCTAATCAAACCTAATCTATTCGAAGTTTTTTTTTGCAAGCCTACATTTAACATAGTAACCTTCCTGAATCCATCCTGGGATTTGTCATTGTTTTTTGCCAAAGGTTTCTGTTTGCTCTCCTATAAGTCGCGGGTCTTAATCTCGATGTCATCTTGGTCCAAAGAAGCTAGTTTAATCTCTATGTCATTTGAGTAAACTTAGCGACAATATCTATGTCACATCATGCCCCTCCAATTCCAGCGGAGAGTATCCGATAAACTCATAAACCCATGTTCCACAAGGATTCAAGCCACATGGATGGCTGACTTTTTGATTAGCTAGGGTGATTTGTGGACACTTGTAGGATTAGGGTGGTATCTAGGATGATTTTGGGTAGCCTTTCTGAGACATGTTGAGAAAATGATGATTTCTAGGATGATTCCGGGAGACTTTTCTGGGACATGCTGAAAAATGATGATTTCTACGATGATTTTGGGTAGAATTCCTGGGAATCGTTGAAACCATGATGATTTCTACGATGATTTCGACAATGATTTTTCGATGATTTTGGGACAGCTTTCAAACGATAAAAAAATGATTAAACGGCGGGAAATTATCATTTTTTTATCGTTTGAATCATCGTTTAAATCATCGTTCTTGGGATTTTCCCTTCGTTTTCCTTAAAAATGCTCCAAAATGGAGAAAATGATGATTTCGACGATGATTTTTGCGATGATTTTGGGACAGCCTTCAAACGATAAAAAAATGATAAAACTGCGGGAAATTATCATTTTTTTATCGTTTGAATCATCGTTTAAATCATCGTTTTTGGGATGTTCCCTTCGTTTTCCTTAAAAATGCTCCAAAATGGAGAAAATTGATGATTTCGACGATGATTTTTCGATGATTTTGGGACAGCTTTCAAACGATAAAA